GGGCTTTGTCACTTGCTAATTTGGGTTTCTTTACTTCCCAAACCAAGCCAGGGCAGCCAGGGCTGACAGGTGCCAGCCTCTGAGGTGATGCGCCCTGACTCCACAACCCACGGCCTTACAAGGCTTAGCTCCTCTGGCCAGACACTTCCTTCCCTTGCCCTGTGGCCTCCCCAGCCCTGGGAGGGGAAAGGATGACACTGGAAGCCGGTGGCACTAGAGGCCGGAACCCCCCCCATGCCTTCTCCTCTCACTGACAGCCATCCTGAGTCCCTCTTTCCTAGCCCTGCCCCTTCCTCCTGCCATCGAGCCAGCTCCAGTTCTCACTCTTTCTCTTGGCAATTTTTCCATCCATTTCCAGCGAGCTGGGCAGTCACAGAAGATCTGAGACGATACTGACCATAGAGGCAGAGGCCGTTCTCCTGAGGCCTGGATTCTGGTTAAGGCTGCTTCGGTCTCTCCCTGGACTTTAAAAGAGGCTAAGGGGACCAGGCGCGGTGGGTCATGCCTGTAATTCCCAGCACTCTGGGAGGCCAAGGCGGGAGGATTGCTTGTCCCCAGGTGTTCGAGACCAGCCTGGGGAATATAGGGAAACCACGATTCTATTAAAAATTCAAACATCTTTTAAAAAAAGAGGCTGCGCCGGGCGCGGTGGCTCAAGCCTGTAATCCCAGCACTTTGGGAGGCCGAGGCGGGTGGATCACGAGGTCAAGAGGTCGAGACCATCCTGGTCAACATGGTGAAACCCCGTCTCTACTAAAAGTGCAAAAAATTAGCTGGGCATGGTGGCACGTGCCTGTAATCCCAGCTACTCAGGAGGCTGAGGCAGGAGAATTGCCTGAACCCAGGAGGCGGAGGTTGCAGTGAGCCGAGATCATGCCATTGCACTCCAGCCTGGGTAACAAGGGCGAAATTCCGTCTCAAAAAAAAAAAAAAAAAAAAAAAAAAAAAAGAGGCTAAGGGAAAGCCATCAGCCTTGTCCTAAGGAAGGGGACCGCTTGGAAGCCAGGCTCAGCCTTAGGTACCTGTACACCCTTAACCCGCTTTGCAAATGAGGAAGCCGAGGTTTAGAGAGGAGGCTGCACAGCTGGGTCAATTCTGCAGTGAATCTGAATTCAGGTTAGTGTCTAGACAGCCTGCAGTAAGGCGAGGGCCATTGCCAGGAGGGGAAACTCCTGTGGTCTAGAGTAGGGCTTGGACATGAAGCTGGATTCGGAATTCGAACAAGATCAGTTTCAGCATTTGGCATGCCGTGTGCAAAATGGATTGAGAGGGCAAGCGGCCACCTCGATAAACCAAGCAAAACAGCAGACAGCAAGAAGGTGAAGGTTCTAGTAGGTTAGGGATAAAGACAGGGACAGGGATTATATTACGGTTAAAGGATGGTGAGTGTTAGGAGTAGAATTGGGTTAAAGTTAAGGTTAGGGAAGTATCTTTGCATTGTGGGCAGCGTGACAGACTTACGAGACCTGACCCCTCACCCTGTGGGCTCTCCTTTCGGGGCCTGGGTTTCCTCACAGGTACACCGATTGAACTGGACAGTCTTCCCGCTCTGGCATCCTTTGATGCTCTCAGCAACAACAGAGCTGGCTTTCCTGAAGGCCAGGCCCTGGTAGGGCTGGATTCTGACCTGCTCTGTCTCGGGGCTGCCTTGCTCTGAAACCTGGACTGATTCATCTCACTGACCCTCCTAGGCTCACCATTTTCCTGGCTGGACTATGAGATCCAGGGCCCAGCAAGGCACTGGAGAACGTATTAGTTTCCCATTGCTGCTGTGACAAGCCAGTATACACTTAGTGATTTTAAATAACCCAAACGTATTATCTTACAGGTCTGGAGGGCAGAACTCAGAAGCATCTCCCTGGGCTGCAAGGCAAGGTGATGCGAGGCCTGCTGCCCCCTTCAGGCTCTAGGAGAGGAACCGTGCCGTGGCCTTTTCTGGCTTCTAGAGGCTGCCTGCATTCCTTGGCTCGTGGCCTCCTTCCGTGGTCAAGGCTAGCAGCATAGCATCTTTTCTGACCTCTGCTTCCTTTACCACATTTCCTTCTATCAACCCTGCTCCTCATCACTCACTCAGCTGAGAAGGACACTTGTGATTAGATTGGGTTCACCAAGTTAATCCAGGATAATCTCAAGGGTCTTAGCGTAATCACATCTGCAAAGCCTCCTTGCCATTTAAGGGAACAGATTCACATTTGCATTAGGGCATGGGCACCTATGGGGGCTATGATTCAGCCTAGCACAAAGCTGCCTGGGGCTCTCCAGAGCCAGGAGCCCTGTTTCCGGCTCTGTGTCTGGGAAGGGTCCTCCCTGAGCAGCCAGCAGCTGTGTCAGACAGAACCTCATAGCTCTGGACAGCCTGCCCTGCAGGGAGAATGGGAAGCCTGGCCCTGGGCTGCTGTGCACTGAGAAGGGGGAACTTTTCTGTAGGCAAGGAGGGAGGAGAAAGGCTGTGGAGGCTCACTTGGCTGGGGCAGCGAGTGGGTCACGAGGCTGAGACCTCCAGTGGTGGTCCCTCAACTGGATGTGGGCGGCCTGGATCATTGGGGCCTGCTCTGCGCCCACTCTCTATATGAAGGTAGATGGGGTCAGGGACAAGGGCAGCAGGGCATGGCAGTCTTGCTTCTGAAGTCCACCTTTGAGTGACAGCAGGAGAGAGACCTAGAAAAGTCAGTGTGTGAACTGGGGCCGAAGGTCAGGGCGGATCTGAGGGAGTGAGCTGGAGGCTGGGAGGGAGTGGAGGCAGTGTGCAGGGATGGCGGGGAACTGGGACGTTGAAGTGAGGGGCCCTGGCCGCATGCTGCCCATCAGAGTGTGAGGATGCATCACTCTGAGTCTGAGATTCCCTGTGGTTCCTGCCCAGGGAAGGCCCCCGGCTGTGCTGTGCTCGCCACGTCTTGCCGTGGACATCCCGGCCACCTACGTTCTTGGCTTCTGTTCACCCTGCTTTGTTCTTCTGTTGTCAGCCTGTCTTCTTTATTTTTCCTTTTCAAAAAGCAGGATAATTCAGGCAGAGAATTTATTTTCTGAGAATATCAAGGCCTTTTATTGTATAGGCCAGTCATGGTGGCTCACACCTGTAATCCCGGCACTTTGGGAGGCTGAGGCAGGTGGACCGCTTAAGGCCAGGGGGTCGAGACCAGCCTGGCCAACATGGAGAAACCCCACCTCTACTAAAAATACAAAAAATAGGCCGGGCGCGGTGGCTCAAGCCTGTAATCCCAGCACTTTGGGAGGCCGAGGCGGGTGGATCACGAGGTCAAGAGATCGAGACCATCCTGGTCAACATGGTGAAACCCCGTCTCTACTAAAAATACAAAAAATTAGCTGGGCATGGTGGCACGTGCCTGTAATCCCAGCTACTCGGGAGGCTGAGGCAGGAGAATTGCCTGAGCCCAGGAGGCGGAGGTTGCGGTGAGCCGAGATCGCGCCATTGCACTCCAGCCTGGAAAACAAGAGCGAAACTCCGTCTCAAAAAAAAAAAAAAAAAAAAAAAAAATACAAAAAATAACCAGGCATGGTGGCACACCTGTAATCCCAGCTATTCAGGAGGGTGAGGCAGGAGAATCACTTGAACCTGGGAGGCAGAGGTTGCAGTGAGCCAAGATCACGCTGTTGCACTCCAGCCTGAGTAACAGGCGAGACTCTGTCTCAATAAATAAATAAAAGGAAAGTTATTGTATACATCATAATAAGCCAAGGCAATAAACTCCAGGAGGCTCGTCTCCCAAGCCCCTAACTTCTTCCTCCCTCCAGTTGCTCCTTTTGGCTAGAGCCCACCTTCATTACCATCCCAGCCTCTCTACCTGGACTCCTACACCCCCAACTCCCCTGCCTCCCCAGACCCTGTCCTTTCTCCCTGACAGCCTGTTCACACAGAGGCTTCTCAAAGGTGACCTGACCAGAAAAGACAGAGCAAACTCTATTAGGCAGCAGAATGTTGGTGTAGAGAGGTCAGGGCCTTTACCTCTGTGGGCATGGGGGTGTGGCTCCTTAGGACCCCCGTGCCCGCTACTCTCTCCCTCTCCAAATGGGGAGCATGGCTGGGGCTCCCGAACCTCCTGCTGCTTGGGAAGCCTCTCTCTGGCATCCGAGAGGGGTCAGTGTCCTGCCTCAACCCATGAGATGACAGACTATAATAGCCACAGGATTAACATAGCAGGCATTGTCTTTCTCTGACTATAGGGTTGGTATTATGTGTTCATCAACCATCCTAAAAATACCCAGAAGACAGGTGCAGCCCCGGCACCAGTCTCCGGGGATCTGTTGGCTTCTGGCTGGAGATGAAGATTAGGGCAGGGGAGAGGTGAATTCGTCTCACCGAGTTCTAGGCATGGGACTCGGGTGTCTCATGATCTCAGGAAACTCACCTGGAGGGGGATGCAGTGTCTGTAGACCCTAGGACCTCCCTGAGCTTAAAGGTGGCCCCTGCTGCCGCTGCTGTTCCATTCAGCCTCGGAAACTCTTGCTGAGTTCAGCCTGCAAGACTGCTCACATCACTCCCCACAGCCAGCACCCTCCTAACCCACGTGCATCAGGGAGCCAAAAATCCCTGCAAGCTGAGTCTTTAGCCTTCTCCGGCTTTTGGAGCATGGGTTCGGAGGCCTCATTTCCATATTTCCTAGTAAGAGAGGTGGGGTTAGTGACAGTCCTCTTCCCCAGCCTCCAGGCCTTCGCTGTGGCCCCTGGCTCTCCCTTACTCCTCCTCCCTGTCTCATCTCTGTTCAGTCCCCACACCTGGTCTGGCTGTTCAGTTTCTCCCTCCCTGCGGCTTGAGCCTCCCTAGGCGGGTGCTGGGGTCACTCGGTGGCACCTATGTGCACAGAATGTGTGTGTGCTCCAGAGCCACAAACTCATGTGGCTCTCAGCCTGTGTGCCTGTTGTGTGCATTGCAGCACGCATCTGCCCTGTGAGGGGTGTGTGTGGTGGGAGGGGTGGGAGGGAGGAGGGGCCGCAGGAGGGGGCAGTGGGTCTGTTCTATTTTTACCGGCCAGTTGCTGCTGGCCACAGTTTTCATAGACTCCCCTTGGCTCTGCCCCTCACAGTCTGCAGTCTATCGCGAGGCACAGGCCAGTCCCGCTCCACAAGGACTGAACGAGGTAAGCGTCCACAGCCCAGGACCTCAGATCTAGGTTCATCCCAGGCAGAGAACCTGGGGCTTTTGTTTAAGGAGAAAGCAGGTCTTGGAGCTGGAGGAAACCGTTTCTTGCCCGTACAGTTGGTTTGCTGGTAGAACATTCCTAAAATACTCCCAAGGCGTTTGGTCCCACAGAATGGCAGCTCTCCTGCAAAACTGTTGTGAGAGGCGAAAGCTTTTCCTGGATATTAGGAGGCTGGGAGCGAGGAGCAGAATCTTCCTCGAGGTTCCTTAGGAGCCCCAAGGCAGAGCCTAAGGGATGGTGCTTTCACACGGGGTGCCCAGCAGGGTGTGGGAGGGAGAAGCACCCAGGGGAAGGGGTGGCCCTGGGATCGGGGAGCCGGAGCCGAGGGGCTGCAATTGCAAGCTTAGGCAGAGCCGGGTGAGTGCTCCAAGTCAGCTATGCCTGCAGCAAGAGAGAAGGGGGGTTCGGGTGCAGGACTCCCAGGGAGCGCAGAAGGCAGGGCCAGAGCCCTCTGCTGACCAAGGAAACCATCTTGCTTCTGTGTTCTTTGTCTTTGAGGGACGCTGTCTGCTCCCTTTGCCCATTCCTCTGTACTGCAGCACGAGAGCAGGGAAGGGCAGACCAGCAACCCCTCTTGACCGCTCCCGCTCCGTGCTCCCGGCTCTGAGGAGCCGCAGTAGGTATTGGGGGTCCTCTTGGAGGAAGGCAATGGTGGCAGCATTTTGGGTTGGGGCACAAGAGCCAGTGAACACATAAGCCAGGGCAGCATCTACAGGGCAACCCAGGGCTTGGAGCAGGGCGCTATGCGGTGGTCCCTGACTCGGATGGGGGCTGAGGGCAGCATCTGCCACCGGCTCTGGGAGTCACAGTCCCACAGCAGGTCTGAGATTAGGCTTCGCTGTTCAGAGCTCAAGATGGGGTTGTGGTGTGTGGTAGGAAGCCCAGAGCCATGGGTTTGGGAGTGTGGCCTGTTAAATAACCATCAGTTAAGGAGGACAGGGATGCCCTTGAATGGGGGTCCAAGGTCAGGGGGCGGGAAGCAGGGGCAAGCACATCAACCTAACTAGATACTTGTGGACGTGATTATTGGGTGTGGAAAGCGATCAGCTTCTTCTCCTACACATACACTCTTTCACACACACACACACACACACACACACACATACTCTCTCTCTCTCTCTCTCACAGTCACTTACATACATTTACACACACACACTCAATCTCATAGAGTAGTTGATCGTCCCTTCCATGCTGCAGAGCTTCAAGGAAGGGAAAGCCCAGCTCCGAGGCAACCATCAGAGACTTTGCACCCTCCCTTGGGTGGAGGATTGTCTCATTATCTCCTTGCTTGCTACTTGTGGGGGAGGTGGAATCCTGGCTCTCCAAGCCTTCCAGTGGCTGCTATCTACATCCTGACTTCTTATCAGCCCTTGCTTGTCTTCTGCAAGGCCTGGCAAGGGCCCCTGTCTGGTGGGTGTGAGAGCACAGGCTGAGGCCTCTTGCCTGACATGGGACCCCTCGGCCTGGCATTTGTCAGTGAGGCAGGCGGGGGGCAGGCCCCAGAGCTTGGCGGGAGGTGGAAATTGCCTTGGCAGGTAGGGCCCCACACTGGGGATCGTTGGCTCTCTGAGGGAGGGAGGGAAGCATGATCCCTGCCAAATGCCCACCAAGGACAAGGCACATCCCAGGGAGGCAGCCACAGACCTGGTGCCCTCTGGACGCTGGCATTCTTGGAGGCTGGTGACGGACAGATGGGTCTGGAGGTGGCTCTTCACCAGCTGGTGTTTCCTTTGGACTTCCTCAGCGTCTTTGCAGAAGCAGAGCCCTCAGAATAAGCAGCTGCCTACAAAGTCTAATTCCAGCCAGGCATCTCAGGAATTCATGGATGGTCTCCACACCCCTCCCTTTGTGCCCCAGCGTGACAGCTGAGACTCGGGGTCACACTACCCCTCCCCCTCCTCCACCCCAGCCTTACCCTCCCCTGGTGGTGGAGGCAGAGGTGGAGGGTTTCTGACCCAGTGGGAGATTCAGGGGAGGTAGCCAAAGCTGTGTTCACGGGGATCTGAACAGTGCTTCATGGGCAGCAAGGGAAAGGAGAGAATGCGGGCAGAGGAAGGGGTGGCTCTGGGATGAAATTAGTGGCAGGCAGGGCACTTTGCAAAGGTCCTTTAAGTGGTGCCCACCTCCTAGGCCCCGCAACCAGGTTCTTGACCCAAGTTCAAACTCCTGCCCCTGAGCTCCATGCCTGCCCCCTCCACACACACTGGGCTCTCCCACCCTTCACTTCACAGCCTGGCTCAGCACTCCTGTGTGCCCCTGCCCTACCTGCTCCCCACCTCAGCTGTCCCTTTCCTTGTCCTGAGCTTTTGCACAGTTCTCCCTACTAACCCCCACCATTGGAATGCTCTGTGTCCAGGCCCAGGCAAGACGGTGAAGGATGTCTGGCTTTGGAACATCTCCCTCCACAGCCGGACAGACCCCCTCTTTGGCCTGGGCCCCAGGATCACCTGGTCAGGGGGCTTTGAACTGCGTCACCGCCAAATGTCCTCACAGAAGACCACAGGGGCTGCTGTGATAACCCCCTTCCACCAGTGCCATTTCGCTCTTTTGTTCGTTTGTTTGACTTTTATTTTAAGTTCAGGGGCATGTGTGCAGGATGTGCGGGTTTGTTACACAGGCAAACGTGTCATGGAGGTCGGTGGTATCAATCATTTCATCGCTCAGGTAGGACAGAGGTACACATGAGTTAGTTTTCCTGATCCTCTCTCTCCTCCCGCCCTCCACTTTTTGATAGGCAAAATGCCATTTTGCTTTTACTGATCGAATTTACTTTACTTTCAAGTAAGATTAGGTTGGAACAAAGGAGTCAACCAAATCATAGTAATTTAATAGTATTTTAATTAGTTGCTATTAATTAATAATAAACATCAAACGGAAACCCACTGATTTAACCCCTAATTTTGCAGAGCGGAAAACCAGCCCAGAGAGGGGAAAGACACTAGAGTGCACACAGGATTCGCCTGGCCTCGAGGCTCATCCTCTCCCTCTCAGGGGCCCTCACTGCCCCACCCCGGGGGTGCCAGTTGCATTGCCATCTGTGGATGGCGTTGTGCCATGTGGCAGCAGCCGTATTCCAGCATCCATTCTACTCATTCGCTTTCCAAGCCTTCCTCTCTGAGCCCTTCGGTGACCACCCTTCATTCACAGGATGAAGTCTAAACTCAGCTGGTCCCGCAGGGCCTCGTGAGTGAGCTACACTCTCACCTGCCAGTCACATTTCCTGTGGGCTCCATTCTGCTCCCCACCGGGGTTGGCAAGCTTTATCTGGAAAGGGCCAGATAGTAACTATTTTAGGCTTTGTAACTGCAAATTCTTAAAAAAAAAAAAAAAAAAAAAAAAAGCTTACCACTCTTTAAGCAAAAACAGGCTAGGGGCCAGGTTTGGCTTATGGGCTGTGTTTGCTGCCCCCTGCCCTGCAACCCTGTCCCATCCTGACCTGCTGGAATGCAGTGTGTCTGATTTCTTCCCTTTGTGTTCTAACTCTGTCTCCCAGGCTGGGCTGCAGACTCCCGAGGCCCAGCTGGGCGGTGGGCGGTGGGCGGGGGGCGGGAGGGGGAGGCAGGGGTTTCCACTTTCCCTCATGAAGGATTCCTTTGTGCCCCCTAGGTGCTGTCCCACTGCCACCATGCCGGAAGTGTAAGTAGTCTCACCGCCACCTGGGGCCCCTTTGCCACTGACTTCAGCCCCATAGTGGAGGCACCATGTTTTCAACCTCCACAAAGCTTTTCCCTAAGAGATCAGATCCTAAAACAGAGACGGTCCTTGATGGTTCTCCCGCGTTGCATCTATGTGTCCTCCCAGCCACCGGGTGAGGCTCACTCCCAGGTCGCCCTGGGAAGGCCTTTTTGGCCTGTGCGTCAGAGTTTTCCCGTCTTGATCTATCAGGTGAATTGCATGTACCAGGCCACCACTTAACAATGGTGCAGTAGATGAACGAAGCTTTAGGAATTTACCCACATGTCCACGGATGGATGCTTCTACGTTACTGGAACCCTACCCGGAGGCTTCCCCGAGGCCTCCCTCACCTTCCACCACTTCTCCCCAACTTACGACGTCCAGTACCTCCCAATAAGAATGCCTGGTAGTTCAAAGGGCTGTTGGGTTTTATTCTATTCTGCCGGAACTTTGAACCACTCTCCCTGCCTGATGCCTGATGAGCGTCTGGCTCACGGTCATCACCGGCCTGTCGCCCCACAAGCTGGTCTGTGAGGCTCTCGGCTGCACGTGTCATCCTCATTGTTCATACTCACTCTGTGCTCTGCTCTTTCCTGTCCTTCCTGCGGTGGATGCCTGAAGCGAGGTAAGTGATATTTGGGGTGTCTCTGTTCTGGTTAACTCTTCTGACTGGTAAAGGTGGGAAGGTGGGGTTGGCATCGGAGGAGAGGGGAGAGCTTGCGTTAAGGTCTGGTGGGGGTGCCAGGGGGTGTAGAGCATTTAGTGGCTGAATACATTCCGGGAGATGGAAACCTCAGGCGAAGATTCTGGATGTGGGGCTTCCTAGCGTCGAGTGAGTTGCTGTGCCAGTGTACAGTGTTGTCCAGGGACTGGTGCTGCAGAGTCACACCCAGCCCTGCTGCAGCACCTGTTCCTGGAAGGTCAGTCCCGGAAGGTTGTCCTGGGACTGGTACTGCAGCCTGGGCTGGCTGTGACTCTGCACCCTTGCTGAGCACAAGCTCTTCCTCAGCCGCTCTCAGAGCTGGTCCAGTCCTGGGGAGACCATCCTGTTCCTTGCAGAGCTGATCTTGTGCAAAGCTATATTTGAAGGGTAAGGGATAGTCATTGGGTTATTCCACCCTTGTCCAGTGGCTGAACACTGAACAAGGAGCAAAGAGATGTCCTTAAATCCCCTTCAGGCCTTAGAGAGCCCTGACACTGGCCGTTCTGGGCACTCCAGACTTACCAGGCTGCTGAGATCACAGCCTATGTACAGTCCAAGGATGGAGATGGCAGGAATAGGGATGTGGGCTCAGCAATGGCAACAGTGAAAATTAGTGCTATTGATGGAGGGGACGTTTGGCACAGAGATTCTCAGTAAGAATTGAACATGTTACCTTTCCACATTCATATGAATTTCTAAGTTTTGCTGAGGCTTGTATTAAAGTGTGTCCCCACTGACAGATGGTCAAATGATGTGGCCATCAGCTCGCCCAGTGGCGGGGAAAGAAGTCCACAGTGAAACATTTACCGTGTGTGCCCATTACGGTGCATGAACCATGGGGGCGGTGCTTAGAGTCATAGCCCCTTTCTCTTGAAATGGCACTTATCTGAAACATGACAAAAATCTTTAGGAGAGGAAAAGACGAACGAAGCACTCTGAACAGTCAGGATAGAAGTTACACATTCTATGTGCTGAAACTCACTATTGTCTCTTATGAGAACTTCCCTGTCAAAGGGAATCACGTCTACCTCACACAGTGGAGTGACAGGTGAGAGCCATGCTCCCCCAGCTCGCAGCACGTTAAGTCTGGGTAGGATGCTTACTTAGCTTAGGCGCTGAGAAGTGACTGCCTACAGCCCAGAAGAGATATTCGTGCTCAAAAGGCATCACAGTCTCATTAGTTGGGGGTGAAGCAGCCCTAACTTACCTTTGCCAGCCCCGAGGGACCACTGTCACAGGGCTAGGACTAGGAAGCAGGAACATGTTTAGGATTTTTGATAATAAAATAGTGCTTTGATACCTTAGATTTGTATGGGTAGTGTTAACATTTTAAAAGGTTTTGAGGTCTACATAGACATATTTCATTTACCTGGGAAATTCACAGCTTGTTTATTCAGTGAGACAGATCATCAAAGTATTGCTGTATGGTATTATGACCTGGAGTGTGAAAATGTACATAGCTTTTATGCTTTTCAAAGGATTTGCACATCCATGATCTCATTTCACCTGTGACAACTCTGTGAATTAAGTAAGCAGTCAGTGGGCGGCGAGCTCATAATATCCTTATTTACAGACGAGGAAGGAGGTGCCTCTAGAAGCCATGTGACCCTCATAGTATCTTACAAGATTTCAGCAGCAGCAGAGTCAGAGTGGGAAGTTAAGGCTTCGGCCCCTAAGTCAAGGTGGCTGACTGCAGCTACTCTCCGAACTTCAGGGGTTAAATTGCAAAGATGAGCTTTTAAGGCACCATAGGGTGAGCAGAGAATTCTGGATAAAGATAGAGAACCCTGGCTGGGATTTGTCCTGGCCTAGACCAGAACTCCAGTTCTGCAGCCTCTGCCTCACCACCTCTCTCTTTCTCTCTTCTTGCCCACAGAGAAAACCCAAGATCACTGCCTCCCGCAAACTCTTGCTGAAGGTGAGGCTGGGGGCTGGCTGCAGGGGGATGCCCAGTGGGAGGCAGAGGGGCAGCAGAGCAGACTCTGAAGGGAGGGTTACAGGAAGGAGAAAGGAAGGAGGCCAGAGCGAGGATGATGAGGGGCACGAAGAGCCCAGCATTGCTAGAGCCAGCGCCAGGCTCAGGTGGTCAGTGGGTGGGATCCTCAAGTATGGATCCTGGCACCCGCCTGGGGTCCTGAGAGGAGGTGGTGATCAGCTTCAGAGTGGAAAGCTACTAGCAGGCAGAGGGACTTACTTTATTTTCATATGTGTTTCTCTGTTTGGGGCTTTGTGGGTCAAAACAGACAGTTAAGTGGGTAAGAGGAAGGCAGACTGTCAGGGAAAAGCAAATTTCAGGGCTGGAGGAATGTTGTGTGTGGCCACTTGGTGTACCCTCATGCATGGCCTACCCATGGCCGCTGCACACACGTCTACACTGGATGGTGGTCTCAGAGCTGGCCCAGCCTGGGGCTGCCTCACCCTCATTCCCAGATGCCGGGTGGGAGATGCGAGGCCCCCGGTTCAGCAGGTTTGTCCTGTCCAGAGCCTGATGCTGGCCAAGGCCAAGGAATGCTGGGAGCAGGAGCACGAGGAGCGTGAGGCTGAGAAGGTGCGCTACCTGGCAGAACGCATCCCCACGCTGCAGACTCGAGGTCTGTCCCTCAGTGCCCTGCAGGTGAGCCTGGCCGGTGGGGCGGGGCGGGGTGAGGCTGGAGGCGCTGTGTGCGTGGCTCCAGGGACCAGGCGGCAGGAGCCTGAACTAACACCAGCTCAAGGCTCTACAATTTACATGGCATCCCTCCCTTGTATGGTCTCATTTAATCTTCACAACCACCTGCAAGATGGGGATGTTAGATCCCATTTTACAGACACTGAACTGAGCCTCAGAGGCGAGACGTGACTTGCCTGGGCGGGTCGAGCCAGGGCTCCAGCTTCACAATCAGCCAGTGTGGTGGCAGGGAGTGGGGAGGTGGCCAGGGTTTAGAGAAACCCCCCTTCTCCAAGAACTTGTCTATCCTTTCCTAGAGTTTGGTCTTTAACGTTTTCAGAACACTGGTAAATTGTTTAAATGCCAGTTATTATAGAGAAAAGAGACTGGAAGGAAATATATCAAAATGTTACTGAGTATCTCTGGCTGGTGGCATCACTAGGTATTTTAATAATACATTGTTTCCAAGATGTCTACAATTAACACATTACTTTTATGATAAGAAAACAATTTTGTTTTGCTGGGCACAGTGGCTCATGCCTGTAATCCCAGCACTTTGAGAGGCTGAGGCATGTGGATCACTTGAATGCAGGAGTTCGAGACCAGCCTGGGTGACATAGTGAAAGTGAGACATTGTCTCTACAAAAACTTTAAAAAATGAGATGGGACGATCACTTGAGCCCGGGAAGTTGAGGCTGCAATGAGCCATGATGAAGAATACTATTTTTTTTTTTTTTTTGAGACAGAGTGTCACTCTGTTGCCCAAGCTGGAGTGCAGTGGCGTGATCTTGGCTCACTACAACCCCCACTTCCTGGGTTCAAGCAATTCTTCTGTCTTAGCCTCCTGAGTACCTGGGACTATAGGTGCACGCCACCACGTCTGACTAATTTTTGTATTTTAGTAGAAATAGGGTTTCACCATATTGGTGAAACTCCTGACTTGAACTCCTGACTTCAGGAGTTGTCTTGAACTTCTGACTTCAGGTGACCCACCCGCCTTGGCCTCCCAAAGTGCTGGGATTACAGGTCTGAGCCACAGTGCCCGGCCAAGAATACAATTTTTTTTTCTTTTTTTTTTTGAGATGGAATTTTGCTCTTGTTACCCAGGCTGGAGTGCAATGGTGCAATCTCAGCTCACCACAACCTCCGCCTCCTGGGTTCAGGCAATTCTCCTGTCTCAGTCTCCTGAGTAGCTGGGATTACAGGCACGCGCCACCATGCCCAGCTAATTTTTTGTATTTTTGGTAGAGACGGGGTTTCACCATGTTGACCAGGATGGTCTCGATCTCTTGACCTCGTGATCCACCCGCCTCAGCCTCCCAAAGTGCTGGGATTACAGGCTTGAGCCACCGCGCCTGGCAAGAATACTATTTTTTAAGAAAGCACATACAGGAGCGTCAGAGTAGAGGAGATTGCCCACCATGAGCCTCAGAGTGGAGGAGATGGTCAGCTCCTCTCTGAATCCCAGGACTTGCAAAGGCTCTGGGGAGAGGGTCAAGGGCTGGAAGCTGATGGCTTTGCTCCCGTCTTCTTCATGCCTGCCTGATCCATCTGCCTCCTGCAGGACTTGTGCCGGGAGCTGCACGCCAAGGTAGAGGTGGTGGATGAGGAGCGATATGACATCGAGGCCAAATGCCTGCACAACACCAGGGAGGTGAGTCTGAGGAAGGGAAGGGGCACAGCCAGGGTGGGCTGGGTGGGGGGAGGGTGGGCATGGATGCAGCAGCCATGGGATGTCCCCTCCTTCCGAAGGGCCTGGGAGGGGGCCACTTAGCAGGAAGCTTGCACACGCTTCTCCACACACATTTGGCTTCTCCACACTAGCCCCATAGGGCTGGAGATGGGCAGAGTGGAAAATCACATGTGAAAAGTACAAACTTCCTCCCTACCTGCCATGTGGGCTCATCAGCCTAACAGAAGCACTCTCTTTATCCACCTACACAAATAATCATGTGCCTGTTAATAAGGTCTTACCTTTGTGAAGTGCTTTCATTGCATTACGGCCTTTGATCCTCCCTACATGTCTGTGGATGAAGTAGGGGCTATTATCTGCACCTTGCAGAGAACACTGAGGTTCAGAGAGGCCAAGGACTTGGCCTGAGTCACACAGTGGGGGTCCTGGGACCAGTGCTGGTCTCTGGTTCCCACTTCGGTGCTCTGTGCTCCCTTAGCATGGGGTGTGGGAGGATTCGCTCCATCCGGAGCCCGCTTCAGTGGGGCGAGGCAAAGCGGGGAAGGACAGGGCTCCTTTGGGGCATCTGAGGAAGGGGTAGGGAGGGACCACAAGCCACCTCCCTCCTTCCACCTTCTACCCACCAGGAATGATGATATGTGGGGTCACCAAGCTCCTAAGATTTCCCTCTAGACATCACACCCTGGAAATTCCTCCAGGGGTCCAGGACCTGGAAGCTTATCACCCTGCTGGACCAGGGCTGTGAGCTGCTTTGAAGGCTCACTGGGGAGTAATAAGTTAGAAGCAGGGATGAGGCTGCAGGAACAAGAGGAAGCAGGTCTGCGCTCCACACAGGGCTTCCAAACCATGCAAATCTCAGTCTGGGGGGGCTGCCCCTTTTATTCAAGGGTACAGGGTTAGCAACGGCTAATAGGCTTTATGTGTCCACTTATCCATCTGTTTATCAGCAAATGTGCAGGGGCTATTTGCAAAGGGATGGGTGGGTCTGAGCGTCTTAGAGCAGGGATCCCTCACCTTCGGGCTGGGGACCAGCACCTGTCCATGGTCTGCCAGGAGCCGGGCCACACAGCAGGAGGTGAGCATTCCCGCCTGAGCTCTGCCTCCTGACAGATAGGCGGTGGCATTAGATTCTGGTAGGAGTGAGAACCCTTTTGTGAACCGTGCATGCGAGGGATCCAGGCTGTATGCTCCTTATGAGAATCCAACTCGTGCCTGACGGTCCGAGGTGGAGCAGCTCCATCCTGAAACCACCCACCACTTCTCTGTGGAAAAAGCATCTTCCACCAAACCGGCCCCTGGTGACTGCTGAGAGGTCTGGCTCCAGGGGTGGACAATTTAAGGTGCGTCTCAGGAAGGGTGCCCTGCGGCTAGCTCCCTCTCCAGTGAGACCCAGGCCCTTCTCGCCTGCAGATCAAGGACCTGAAGCTGAAGGTGCTGGACCTCCGCGGGAAGTTCAAGCGCCCGCCCCTGCGTCGGGTCCGCGTCTCGGCTGACGCCATGCTCCGGGCCCTGCTGGGCTCCAAGCACAAGGTGTCCATGGACCTGCGGGCCAACCTCAAGTCTGTGAAGAAGGAAGACACAGAGAAGGTGAGGCCGCTTTCCCCAGAGCCTCCCACCCCCCGCCCTGCTGGTTTTCCCCCGTCAGCCCCTCACACAGCCTCAGCCAGGCCCAGGAGCTCCTGCTAGAGGCCAGTCAGCTTGACAGAACATTCTAGAATGTTGGGAGACCAGTGTGGGAAGAAAGAAGGAAGACTTGCTCCCTTCCTTCAGGCTGCTCCCAGTCTGACGAAGAAACTGGAACACCGAGAAAGCTAGACCCCAGACTGAGACATGAAGTAAAAACCTGTACCCAGTGTGAAGGGAACGTGGAGATTTAGGGTCATGGTGGAGACGACTCCCAGGTCACCGCAGGGAAGGGAGACCGCAGCTTATACATGAGCACAGATGTTGGAGAGCTGAGCTCAACCGCCCAGCAGCAAATTATTCACAGTTTGGTTGAACTCACAGTATATGTGCTCTCCAAACTGATAGGCTCTGTAAGAAACAGGGGTGACAGGAACATAGTCTCTGGCCCAAGAAGATTCAGAGGAGAAGAGATGAGCCAGGCAGCGTACTGAGAGGGAATGGGAAGGCTTCTCGGAAGAGGTTGCCTTGAGCCTGCAGAGACTGCCAGACCAGGAGGGTGGCGTGGGGCCTCGGAGGCGGTTTCGCTGAGGTGCACTGAGGTGGGAACCGGTCCCGTAGCTGCCACTGTCACCCAGTGCTCCCAAGCCACACAGCTGCCCTTTCCCTGCGGGGCCTCAGCTTGGCCCATGTCCACCTGCCTGGCAGAGTCCTAGGATCTTACCAGCTGGGGAGCGGCGTCAGGATCTCTTACCATCCGAGGAGACTGGTTTTCTATGACCCAGCTTCTCCTGAGCCGGGGGGCTGTCCAGCCTGGTAAGTCCCTGGTGTCGTCCACAGGAGCGGCCTGTGGAGGTGGGCGACTGGAGGAAGAATGTGGAGGCCATGTCTGGGATGGAAGGCCGGAAGAAGATGTTCGATGCCGCCAAGTCTCCAACCTCACAATAGAGGTACCTAGAGACCAGCTCCCTTCTCGGGTCCGGCAGGGTCTAGAGCAGGCATCCCCAAACTACGGCCCAGGGGCCACATGCAACCCCGAGGCCATTTATCCGGCCCCCTGCCGCACTTCAGGAAGGGCACCTCTTTCATTGGTGGGCAGTGAGAGGAGCACAGTATGTGGCGGCCCTCCAACGGTCTGAGGGACAGTGAACTGGCCCCCTGTGTAAAAAGTTTGGGGACGCCTGGTCTAGAGGATAATGACGGAGTCCGCAGGCAGCAGGCGGGTCGTACCCAGTGTGGTGCAGGGGGGAAGGCCCCGATGAGACTGATGAGGGCCAGTTAGCTGGGCTCAGTCCTGGCTCCAGCACCGTGATACCATGGGCATGTCATTTCTGTTTGGGGGTGCTTTTTATTCCCTACGTCTATGAAATTGGGGGCTGTATCAAATCAGCGGTTCTTCAAGTGTGATCCTGGGACCAGCAGCATCTTCATCACCTGGGATGCACGTGATAAGCCCCCACCCCAGATCCACTAAATTGGAAACTCTGGGGTGAGGCCAGCCTTTTAGGTGATTGCGATGCACACGAGAGTTTGGGAACCACGAGGCTAGAGGACCCCTGGGGCCCGTCCGTCTCTGACTTTCTGAAAATCTATGCTCTTTTAAACATCTCCTGGCGATGTCCTTTATTTGTGCTCCCTGCAAAGCACCCAGCAGTCACAGTACCTGTTCCCAAGGAGCTACCACTCAGAGAAGCTAAGGCTTCTCGCCCCCTGAGGAAATAGCTGGGGAAACTGAGCAAAGCAAGGAAATTAGGCCACATGAAGCCCTCTACGGAAGTGCTGAGAGAACGGGCAATAGGGCAGGCATCCCCCAGATAGCACTGGTCGGAGCAGGCGCTCTCTGAGGACGTGATGGGTGAGTGTTAGCTGGTAAGGGGAAGGGCACGTCTAAGTGCTGATGGTGCCACAGAAGCATGGAGTTGGGAATTAAGCAGCCATGGCATAGCAGGGTAAGGCCAGGTAAGAGCTGAGGGCTGCCGTGTGGAGGAGCGGTGTGAGGGGTCCCAAAAGGCGAAGAACTGTGCCCACGGACTGAGAAGCTGAGGTTTTGTAGGAGCTCCTACTAATGAAGATCCAGCCAGGGGTGTGCTAGGTGTGAGAAGCCCTGAGGCTGCATGTGCTGTAGGTAAGTCAGGGATTCATGCGCTGCACACAGGGCCGCGGGAACTGATGGCTTCACCTCTTTGTCCCTACAGGCCAGCTTGTTGTGCTGTGCTCTGGGCTCCTGCTTCATGCTTCTTCTCCAACCCAGCTCACTCACCTCTCTGCCCGTGTCCAGAGCATCCCTCCCCACCCCCACTTCTTCCCTCCAGCCTGCATGCCCTCCTCAGGAACTGGGAACACACAGATACCCAAGAGGCAGGACAAACGTGTCTGAAGACCTCACCCCGGCAGAGCGGGCTTCCATCCATCCACAAGGCTCCTGGGGCTTCCTGGCCACCCCGTGGTGTCACAAGTGGAGGAAGAGGAGGGAGTGAGAGCAGCTTTCCTCCAGCCCCGTGCCACACCCCTCCTATGATGTGTACAGTGTCCACAGGCATCTCAGCCTCTTCATTAAAAACCCAGTTTCCCGGTCATTTCTGCAGCTCTGACTGAGCACTGAGAAGAAAGGGAAGACACGGGGCTTGTGAAGAGAGGGCTCAGCTGGGCTCCAGTCACTCTGTCTGCATCTGGAGCTCGGGATCTGAAGGGAGGGCTAAGGAGTTGGTGGCTGCTTGCCAGGGTCCCCGGATCCCCTGCTGCCCAGTCCCTGTGACATTACACAGCACACATTCACCACCCAGGGTGCTCAGCTCACCAGAGCCCTGACCTCCGAGAACTGCCCCGGTCCTGCCCCCGGACTCTGGCCGTCAGGAGAGCCCTGTCTATTCAGAGCTGCTTCTCCTGCCAGATTTCATGCTCTCCTTCCTCTGCAAACCTGGATTATCTCTCCCTGATGCCTGCTGGCTGTACCCGAAAGTGTTTTGGTCAATCCCTCACCTGGCCCTGCAGCACAAGGCGCGAGGCCTGCAGTTCCAGACATGGCCACCAGGTGACTCCTTCCCTCTGTCCTGGGCTCTCCTGTCCATCCCGACTCCCTCTTCCACCTTCACTCACCCTCCCTCCAGTTATTTCCCCTTCACACTCCTGCACTGGTCCTGTCCCCCAGGGCTGATTCTTTCCCGGAGGTGGGGCAGCCACTCGTCTGTCCTCTGGGTCAGGTCCTTTTACCATCCCACTAACTTCTGGGTCCAAAGCCTGGTGAGGGCATAGACCTGCTGGGGTGGAGTGGCAGTCTGGGGCAGCCCCTCTGCCACCAACATACTCATGAGAGTGGCTCCTGTGAAGCAGAGACCAAAGTTCTGACTTCTTTTCTTTTTTCTTTCTTTCTTTCTTTCTTTCTTTCTTTCTTTTTTTTTTTTTTTGAGACAGAATCTTGCTCTGTTACCCAGGCTGGAGTGCAGTGGCACAATCTTAGCTCACCACAACCTCTGTTTCCTGAGTTCAAGCAATTCTCCTGCCTCAGCCTCCTGAGTAGCTGGGATTACAGGTGCGCGCCACCACACCCAGCTAATTTTTGTATTTTTAGTAGAGACGGGGTTTCACCGTGTTGGTCAGGCTGGTCTCGAACACTTGACCTCATGATCCACCCATCTCAGTCTCCCAAAGTGCTGGGATTACAGGCGTGAGCCACCACTCCTGGCAAGTTCTGACTTTTCAGGGCAGTGGGATGGTGACTTTTGAGCTAAGCCTACAAGGGAAGTGTCTGGTGTCAGACCTGGGGTCCCTTGGCTTTGTGACCACCCCAGCACTGGCCTTGGGAGGGGCTGAGTTATCTGAGCAGTAAAGCTTCCACCCACCCTCCTGAGTCCTCATTTTGCCCTTGAATCCCATGTGTTATCTGCCATAAATGCCAGAAACTGGTACAAAGTGCAGTGCCAGCTTCTCCCTGGGGCATGGTCTGGTTCCCTGGGTTGCTGGGCTGCCAGCCCCTTTCAGAGAGCATGGCAGTGGGAACCAGCAACTTGAGCTACACTGGGGGAAGCAGCACTCTTGCTATAAATAGGTCAGTAGGCAGAGAGGCAGATGTGTGCAAAAAGCACAACCCCAACCACACACACAAACCGGTAGGCACGGACACACCCAGTCTCAATGCATAAAGTTGGAGAACCTGACAGGGCTGGTCCAGGCCACAGAGGATGGGGTTAGGCTTCATGCCTTCATGCCCAGGCAGCCACAGAAACCCACCCTTCCCCGCCTCACAGGGCTCCTCCGGTTGGCCTGGGTCCAAAGCGGTCTGCTTGTTTCACCTCTTCCTGGCCCTTCCCTCGAGCCTGGCCCCAAGTTCCAGAGTCAAATCCCAGCTCTGCAGTCAACTATTAACCTGGGGCCCTGGCAGATTGGGGTATCCACCCTGCCATGTAAAGGCAGGAGACCTGCTCTGGGCCTGACTCAAAGCAAACATGTGGGTGCAGAGGGCTGTGGGAGGCGGGGCCCACTCAACACGCCTAAGCCTGTGGCCCTCTAGGAGGGGCAGAAGAGCCAACCAGAGGCTTCCCAGAGGTCATGAGGTTCCTCCTTCTGCTTCCAGGCAGGACCAGACCTAATTCATCTCCTGTCAGGATGGAGCAAGAGCAGATATAGGCACAGACACATTCAGAGCACAAGGATTGAGAGGGTCCGTGGGCAAGGGGGACGGAGGCCTGGGGGCGGGAGAAGGATCTATGGGAGGGGCTGTTGGAGCCAACAGTGGTGCGTGGGGGTGAGAGGCCTGGCCTCTGGAGAGCCCTGGTTCCACGTAGTCCTCTCTCATCATGGAGGGCCAACACCACCCAGCCTGGACGCAAGGCCAGCAGAGCTGGGAGCTGGGGCTTGCCAGTGAGGAACAGCTCACACAGATAGCACACTTAGGTGGCAGGCACCAGTGTGTGCACCTTAGTTCACTTAACCTTCGCAACAACCCTAGGACACAGTATGGCTGCTATTCTCATGGTACAGCAGGGGAAACCGAGGCACAGAGCGGTTAGGGACTTTTCATGATCACACAGCTTGTAAGTGGTGGGATCAGAATTCAACCCAAGAAGCCTGTTAGAATCCATACTCTGATCGACTATTTTAATAATAGCATTTCAGTAATAGTAATGTGTGATGCTAAGTGCTTTATCTGAATTATATCATTGCATTCTCACAAAAATGGTACATTTGTTAGCTTAAGTTTACAGATGAGGAAATGGAGGCCTGGAGAGTTCAGGGTTTGTTCGTTGCAGACTGGAGACTGGAACCCCGGTCGCTCTGCCTTGGGGTCGCCCTTTTCTGAGATCAGACTGGCCTTCACAGAACCCAACCAGCCACTTTCTTGGAGGGACAGAGCTGGGGGTCAAGGGCCCTGCGTATGCACCCAGGGAGTCCCCACATCCCCACCAAAGGGGAAACATTCAAAAGAGGGGGCGTCCAAATAGACTAAGGCAAGGCCTTCTGCCAACACGTGGGCCCACAAGGCCGGTGGGAGGTGGGGCCCATTCAGCACACCTCAGCCTGCAGGGCCCAGGCTGAGGGTAGAGGGATGGGGTGCTACCTGGGTGATATCTGTTCTAATCAGCACACAATAGCTGGGTGGACACCCCCTCTCTCTGCAGCTGGTGGAGATGGGCCTGGTGCTCCTCTCTGCTTGGTAGGAATGACCAGGGCAGGACGCTACCTGCTACACCCTTGCCTGTCCCAAAGCCCTTGGGAGACCAGCTGTTGCACCCACCTTTCCCCACAAGGTGCTCGGTCCCCGTGGGGCAAGGAGGCCAAGCCCAGCTGTGTGTCTGGAGCCCACTCAGCAGCGGGCATGATCAGGGCAGGGCCAGAGCTCAGGGCTACCGGGGCTAAAGTGCCCTGCCGAAGGAGGGGCAGAGTTAAACATTAGCCACAATGGCCCCCCACGAAGTGACTCACACTCCCCACAAGGCTCTGGGCTGTGCAGCAGGGGGAGGGGGACAGCTTTGTTCCAGGTGGGTGACCAAGCTGCGGAAGCCCGGGACAGTTCTCTGAGACCAGTGCAAATGGCAGCCTCTGACCCCATCATGTCTCTTCCCTCAGGCATCCCCAAAGCTTGTCTGCCTCGAGGTCCTTTACTAGGTGAGGGGCAAGGATGTTCTCTCCCTCCCAAGACACACTCCTAGGCTGGCCCGTAGGTCCCCCGAGGCCAAGGTTAAGCAGCGTGAGCCTTGAAAACCCCGTAGCACTGGCCTAGAGCACTGTGGTCAGTGTTTGAAGGCCCAGAGAGGGAGAGTGACTTGCTTGAGGTCACAGATCTAACTGGAGCTAGGAAGTAGGTCCCCAGACTCCCAGTGTGAGACAACTGTATGTGGACAGGGCTTTGCTCTCCCTGCCAAAGGCAAAGGCCCGGGAACCCGAGCCGGCTACACATCTCTGGCCTCAACTCAGCACTCCAAATGGCTCCAGTGACGGTGGCAACCACTGCCCTCTCTCACTGGTTGGCACAGGCTGGGTGAGCCTGGCCCTTTGCCCTGGGTTCAAAAGAGAGGTATAGCCTTGCCTGGCAATCAGGGGAAATGATGTGTGTGTGTGTGTGGCGGGGGTGGGGGGTGGCATGCAGAATGCAGGGTGATGACCTGTCTGCCAGTCCTGAGCGTCACTGACACCTGTCTGTCCCCTGTACTACTGCCTCCCAGATGCTTTTCTCCTGACTGGCTCCTTGTGACCCAGGTTTCAACTGCTCCACCTGACAATAAGGAAACCAGGGCCACAAATGTAGTGAGATTTTCATAACGCTAAATGTGTTCAGTGGAAACGGCGCTCTGATCTGAAAGCATGGATGCCTTTATTTTATTACTGGAGTATTAAATGAGCCCTTACTTATGGAATAGGACAACAGTAGGTGGCAATTGTTTTCTCATGCTCTTACTTCACAAAATAAAATGGGGGCAGCATGATGTCAGTATTTATATTAAACAATATTAATAGTTTATAAAAACCCAAAGCCAGGGAGCTTACTGCCCTGGCTTCTCCAGGGTGTGGGTCTTATCACTTCATTCATTTCTTCCCCTCCCCCAAGAGTGCCACAAGCATGGCAGCTGCTCAGCTGAGACACATGAATGGGAACAGAACCCGAAATGTCAGGATGTGACCTCAAGCCAGCTGACTGGGGCTGGGGATCCCCCTGGGTCTCCGCTGTCCTCTCTGAAAAAGGAGAAGCTGCCTTATGAGTCTTTTGTCTGGGAGATTCCAGAGCTTGAACGTCTGTTCTGAGGCTCCTCAGAACCTCGAGGGAGGAGACGAGGGAGATAACTCCTTCCCCAACCACTGGCTGAAGGATCTTGAAATTCCCTGATTTTGACCAGGGGCTTCCCAGTTGTGCTAAGCCCTGCCTGGTGGAATCTCCCTGGAGGAAGTAAGCAGCACACACGTACATTTTTAATGTACATATAAAGAATCATAAAGTGAACACCCGTCTGTCAACCACTCATTTTAAGAACTAGGATATTTTGGAGCCCTCACGCGCCCCTCCCCAGTCACAACCCCTTCCTCTCCACAAAGGTAAATACAATCCTCAATTTTGTGTTTGTAATCCTCTTGGTTGTCTTTGTAAT